AGACTCACTGCCCCAGATCTATGGCCAGAAGCACCGAGAGTGGGTCTGAGGACAGGCAGAGCTCACCGGGTGTAGCCCACACTCCCCGCCTGGCTCTCTGCCGCCTCCGTGGCCAAACCACACACTGAGGTTTGAGCTGGGCTACTGGCAATGAGCAAACCAAGGTGGACCCTGTTCAGGCCAGGAGAGGGGTGTATGTTTAGGTGTAGCTGCCCTACAGTCGGCTGCTCACCTACAGGCCTGGTGTTACACCAGCAGGCAGCTGCAGGACAGACCTAGAGGTCGCTGGGAATTTGAGAAGCCGGAGGTCCCCTAGGTACATGGGTCGGGGCCAGTGTTCCCTGTAAGATGAGTGCTTGGGCGGCCGCCCATTAGGGAGTCAAATGCCCCCCAGCTGATTGGCAGTGCGCCCCCAGCCTCCCACAGCTGGCAGCATGTGTTTCTAGTGGGGGAGCACGTCGTCGCATGCCTTGGTGCATGTGACAACATTTATTCCGCACACAGACGGAAACCTTGAGAGAGAACATTAGTCGGGGCCTACCTTGTCAGTTGGTGTTTGCACGAGGATGTCCAGGGCCATGACTGGGGCGCGAGATGCTAGGTACAAAGAGCAGCCACGTTGCATGTCTCTCTGCCTCGGTCTTATACCACACCTCTCACGGGAGGACTTCAAAGGCTCCGTCCGTGCGACACGTCCCACCTTCTGAGGCCCTGCTCCCTCCTGGTGTCTTTCCCGGAGGCCTTGCCCATGCGCCACTTCTTCCTGCCTGCCCCCCATGGGGATCCACCCCCAGCTGCCCCTGCTTACTCCTCTCTGCCCCCTTTCTCACTCTGTGAGCCTCCTGCCAGCTCACTGATTGACAGCCAGCCCCGGGAACAGCGGTGGCAGGGGGGCGCTAACCACCCCGTGTGTTTCCTGTTGGTCCTTAAGCCCTGGTCACATCTGTATGCCCAGGCAGGTCAGTATCCCTGTTTATGGAGCCAGGGCCACCCAGAGGATTCAGGGGGCCTGGGGCAAAGCAATTTCGGGGGCCCCTTCCTGGCACTCCCTGTCTCAGACCTCAGACTTCAGACATTCCTATGGGGGCCCCTGCAGGGCCCGGGGCCTGGGGCAAATTGCCCCACTTGCCCCCCCGCCCTCCGGCGGCCCCGTACAGAAGAGTGGCTGACGGAAGGGACGTGAGCTGCCCACAGCAAAACAGCGTCAGGACTAGAACTGGGAGCCCTGGCCGGGTCCTGTTCTCCAACCCACGTTACTTCCTGGGCTGCTGGGAGACGCCTCCAGCCAAAAGGCCTCGTAGGCTGGACTGGGAGGGGGATGGGAATGCTGGGAAGAAGCAAGTGTCTGGCCCACAGCATCCCTGGGGCTCAGCAGGGCCTGGGAAGGGGGCCTGGGACCTACGGGGAACAGCCTGACCTGCCCTGACACCCAGAGGCACCTCGTGGTGCCCAGCAACTTTTTCTTTTCTATTTTCAAAGCCGGGTCACTGTCTGACACGGGG